ACCAGGCTGGTGCACCACGCGCAGGTAATGTGTGACCCACGCGTGCCCCACCTGCGGGGCATGCTTCACCTACCACACCGCGCTATACAACCACACCAGGCTGGTGCACCACGCGCAGGTAATGTGTGACCCACGCGTGCCCCACCTGCGGGGCATGCTTCACCTACCACGCCGCGCTATACGACCACACCAGGCTGGTGCACCACGCGCAGGTAATGTGTGACCCACGCGTGCCCCACCTGCGGGGCATGCTTCACCTACCACGCCGCGCTATACAACCACACCAGGCTGGTGCACCACGCGCAGGTAATGTGTGACCCACGCGTGCCCCACCTGCCGGGCATGCTTCACCTACCACGCCGCGCTATACGACCACACCAGGCTGGTGCACCACGCGCATGTAATGTGTGACCCACGCGTGCAAGTAAATTCTTATTCTTATTTTCATTCAATTCCTTGTTCCTATTGTGCAATTTAATTATATTCATATCAATAAATATTCTACCGAGAAAAAGACGTTGTCACGTAAAATCTTCGCCCGTAAAACCGACTTTACAGGCAACCATTTTTTTTGTTTTTCTGTTTGTTTTTATTATTTTTCAAACCATTTACAAAATCAAACCTAATTACTTCAGGTTAGCGTTCAAAAAAATGTCAGTTGCTCGACTTTTGATGTTTTTAGACGACATCTTTTTCAGTAATAAATAATCCCGCCTTAGAGAAGAACAATAGATTTCCGTAAACAGCAAACCGAAATCGGACTTCCGAGCACGAAATCGGACTTCCGAAAACGAAAGCACGAATTTCGAATCCGATTTACATTTGGATACTTGTGGTGGTATTAGATCGCTAGCGTTTTGGTTCGGTTAGATTTCTGAAATCGGATTTTCTTGTTGAGAAATCGTTCGGTATCGATTTGTGTTTGAAATCGGATTTTGGATTCGTTTTGATATATCGGACGCATGCCTACTGCAAACAAAACACTCTTTCTTCCTAATGCCGGCACTTCACTTGGCATTCGTGTTTGCTATTTGAAAACTTGACATCAGTCTGTCCTTTTTATTCCTTATTAAGCATGACAAGGACAGACTTTTGTCAAGTGAAGGACCGGCATAAAACTAATATTCTGTGGTTGTGGTGCAGGCAGTTTGCATTCGTAGTTATCTGTGGCATTCGTGCATTCTCGTTTCGGATTACCTGTTGTGTGTGTTTATTTGCGATTGTTTTTCCTTTAATTTAACTATTTCGGCTATCTAATATGCCATCGATGTTACCAAAGAGCAGAGACCTTATTACCAAGTGCTAGTGAATCTGTGCCACAATATTCTGAGAGGATCATACTGCCAAATTATTCGAGAGCACCTGATTCACATTCACGCTGCATATTTACACAATATACAAATTGTGAATATTGTGATATACAAATAAATAAGTACAATATACAATATGATACAATTATGTGAAAAATAGTCAATAAATAAGAAGCAAAACTACAGTTTTTATTTTATTCATAATTCCTACCTAACCAATTTTTTCCTAATAGTTATTATTTAAAATCACACCGAATAATACTGAATTAGTTGTAATATTAATTCACTTCATACTGAGTTCATACTAAGTTCATAGGTTGACCTATGTTTCATTTAATATTAAACATAACCTCAAAAATATTCAGTTTTCCTGATAATTTAAGTTCTCAGAAGTGTCCGTCAATAATCTTTGTTTTTACAGTCATTTACTTACGATTTTGAACCTAGAAAATAATATATCACGATTGTTGGTTCTTAGGCTAACTATGTATGGACGCTGAACAATGTCCTTTGTCACTATTTGGTTGGATGGTTTAAAATTCAACTTACTTGATCAGTTTATCTAGGTTTTTGAACCACATGTCAGCCAGTTGATATTGAAAGTCCTCTCCCATAGTAACGAGTAGATTGTTCGTAGCATACGCTTCCGACATTCGCTTCGTCACTTTCAGAAAATCGGACACCTTGAAATAATTTCGTATATTGCTAGCTAGTCCTAGTTCATGAACGGAAAAAATAGGGTTATGGATTTCCGGAAACAAAAGTGACAGGTTATGGATTTCCGGAAACAAAAGTGACGGTGGGTGGTAATTAATTCTAACATTGATCTAGTCTTAGTTCAGGTTCGGAAAAAATAGTGACATGGATGTTCGGAAACAAAAGTGACGGCGGGTGGTAATAAATTCTAATATTGATCTAGTCTTAGTTCAGGTTCGGAAAAAATAGTGACATGGATGTTCGGAAACAAAAGTGACGGTGGGTGGTAATTAATTCTAACATTGATCTAGTCTTAGTTCAGGTCCGGAAAACATAGTGACATGTATGTTCGGAAACAAAAGTGACGGTGGGTGTTAATTAATTCTAACATTGATCTAGTCTTAGTTCAGGTTCGGAAAAAATAGTGACATGGATGTTCGGAAACAAAAGTGACGGCGGGTGGTAATAAATTCTAACATTGATCTAGTCTTCGTTCAGGTTCGGAAAAAATAGTGACATAGATGTTCGGAAACAAAAGTGACGGCGGGTGGTAATAAATTCTAACATTGGTCTAGTCTTAGTTCAGGTTCGGAAAAAATAGTGACATGGATGTTCGGAAACAAAAGTGACAGGTTGCTAAGTAACCGCGTCCGTTGATAAGCTTCTAGTATCTGCGTGGCAAAATTAGCAGATAAAGCATTAGAATTTTGTTTCTTTTCAAAATGAAATATTTCCAAAAATCTTCTATCCATATTCTTTTCTATAGACTTTTAATCGTTTTTTTTTTAAATTTTCTTATTTTATTTATACACAAATATACTTTTTGCCTTCTCATATATTAGAAAGAGATGCACTACTCTTCACACATAAAATCATTAACAAAATCAAATAGGAGACGTTTCAAAAGTGGTACTCGGTTTTCGGGAGCGACGCAACCTAATAATAATACATATGTTTATTTATACTCATCCTAATAGGGATGATGACTATTTTTTTTTCTTCGTTTATCAGGTAGATTATCAAAAAGTATTGGACACGTATTTTTTTCTTTTTTCACATAATATACACATTGCAAAGATATATTGATTTGAAAAGTCGCATGAGGTCACGTTTGAGTACACTTATAAGTGAAAATTCACTCAAAAGTGACGTCACGAGCCCCTTCTCCCAAACTTTGACGCACTATAACTTTGTCATTTTTTGGTTGATTGCCCAAAGAAAAAATACGTGTCCATTATTTTTTGATCATCTAACTGACGGACTAAATAGAATTTCGTTTACTGTACATCCTCCGTTTAATGCTTGTATTTACAACAGCAGTGCTATTCTGAAAAATCACAAAATTGTCACGCGCGGATCCGTATCGGATCCGCTATAGTAGGGGAGCCCACGATTCTAAATCGGGATTTACTCGAGCGTCGTGGAGACCTATTGAATTTTGAAGATCAGATGGTAGAAAGAAAAAAATGTTAAACGATGCATACCCTTGCACCGGTGGAACAAGCGTCTAGAAGCTTTCAAACGTGTAAAAAAAATAGTCACATGGAAATACTCGAGCGCGTCAGATATTGATATTGTATATGCTCCTTGTGTCTCTGATGACGGAAGAATGTTAATCTGACTAACCGTACGGGTGGATTGAAAATGGGGGAAAAAAAATACTCGAGCGCGTCAGATATTCAGAGGGGACCCTCCCACTCCCTTACATCACGCTCAAATCGTCAGATTATTGAAATACACACTTTTCAGGATGTAATTAAACCACCATATCTTAATCTGACGCGCTCGAGTATTTCCGCCTATCGTTTTTTTTTTCGACACTTTTCGTACTCTAAGTATTATTTTCGCATTTTTTCGCGGAGCTCTGTGGCATCTTGACTTTGTAACGGTCCGCGCATGACTGTGAACCAAAAAGTGTTTGAGTGGTGTTCAAGCACTTCTTGATTGGGACACATTTTGAGCGCTGGTGGTGTATCTAGGGTATTTCATATCGTTGGTCTTTATAGAACAGCACTGCAGATGTATTTACAGTAATATATTGTGGAGTTCAGTATTAATATTCAGTAAACAGCTTGTATAACCATTTGGTAGCTTGTTTAATGAAATAACATGAACATTGAACAATTAATATATATTTTTTTATTTATCCCCGATTAAATTTGTATCATCTTTATGAAATTTAAACAATTTCCTAAGGATTCTGACCACCCAATCATATAAGTCACGTTATATTTTTAGTCCGTGGCAGCTTAAAACGGTGTCGATTCCGACATGGTTCTCTAAACCTGAACTTAAATTTTAAACTTAAGAGCCCTTTTACAAAATTGCGTCGCTGCCGAACTGATCGGCGCGTAGGTAGATTTGCACTAGTATATATTGCATTTTACGGGTGATGTTTCGAGTCTTACAAAATAATTATTATTGGACTAATTATAAAAAAAAATATACATATTTTCAATGATGGTAGATTACTTTTATGAAAGTTTTTGATAGTAATTTTATTTAATTCAATATCAAAATACGATATAAACCTGCATTATTTTTTGGGAAAACTCACGGAGGTTAGATGTTATTTTTGATAATTAATGAGATGGAAAATCAAAATTCTAATACATAATGTTACCACAAAAACATATTTCTGAAGTCGTAGTAATTAATTTGATCTAATTTATTGAACATTATTGAGAGATTGAGGCGTTTGAAGTTGTGCATATTATCGTTTTTTCCATAAACTAGCTGCAGTAGAACGATCAGTACAAAAAAGGAAAATAGTATTTGCAAATATTCTACGTTAACTTACAATAGAAAGAATAAATCTACTGTTTACTTCTATCGGAAATAGTCAAAAAAAAATCGAAGGGGGTTTTTTGCAAAAAATGTGAAAGAGCTCTTAAATAGACGAAGAAAAATATTATTCACATCCCTATTGGTCTACAGCCAATGATAAAAAACTTAAAATCAGCGCCATCTATTGACATAAGACGAGCTACTCACCCTCCTGTCAACGTTGTAATCCGGCGACGATGGGTCGTCGATAATCGGCTCGTCATTACAGAGAATGTCGAAGCAGAAACCAGGCGGTGGGGCATAAGTGTTGTATAAAATGCCAGTAAATATATCCGAAGATTTACCTGGCGAGAATAAAACGAAATGTATTAAGTGTTTATTTATACTTTAGTTATATTTTTGATGTGTAACATCTTTTCTCTCGCTTTCGTGCAATTTGTGGGAGTGATTATGTGAAGTGGGACGGAAGTATGTAACAGGAAGTTTTTTATTTACTAAGCAAACATTAAATAGTAATCATCATCATCATCAGCCAATTAATGTCCCCACTGCTGGGGACAGGCCTTCGCTATGAATGGAATAGGGAGATTGGGCCATGACCCACCACGCGGGCCCAGTGCGGATTGGCGGGTGCTAACGACTGCAGATGCAGCCGGGACCAACGGCTTAACGTGCCTTCCGAAGCACGGAGGAACTCGAGATAGAAACATAACAAATAAAAAAGCACAAATTATTGGAAAATGACTATTTTTATTTATATTTTATTTTTGTTTATTTTTTTATTTATTCATTTTTTTTTTATTTTTTAATTTTTATTAGTCTTGTCAATTGTGTATTCAGGTTGGAGGAAAGAGTTTTGTAAATTTACTGTAATAAATAGTCATTTTTCAGTAATTTGTGCTTTTTATTTGTTATCAAAAAACAGGTAATTTACCAACTAGCCATTTAGATTTTTATTCATGGTGAAACCGAAATGATTGTAAAATTACACATGCTAAAGTTATTTTACAGGAATTTCAATAAAATTTAATTTCAATTAAATTTAATTTGAAATTACATTTTTAAGTTTAATTTGCCATAACAATGATAAAAAGTAGATAAAATAATTTTTAATGCTTTAATCGTGTTTCAATGATTTTTAAATCTTAATTATAACTCAGACGAGAGAAAAGAGTGAGATGAGTTTGCTTTTTAGGGTTCCGTAGCCAAATGGCAAAAAACGGGACCCTTATAGATTCGTCATGTCTGTCTGTCTGTCCGTCCGTATGTCACAGCCACTTTTTTACTGTGAGTTTATCACAACTCCGCCAATGTCAATAATGCTATTGTCTTCATTTTAAACTATGACAACATCACATTAACATCAATACATGATCTAATAGTAAGATATTTGATCATAAAAACACCAAGATAGAGCAATCCAAAAAAAAACACGCAAAACAAAACGGCTCAAGTTATGCGCTATAACTAGTTATAGCGCATACTAGACTAGTTATACTAGTTATAGTTATTATGTTAGTTATGTGCGTAACTCTAACGTCAGATTGTTCGAAAGCAGTCAATCAATGTGTGCGTGTACGAGCGTATCTACCACAGAACACAGAAACAGGTTAGAAGGGTGATGAGCGATCGCCAGTATGAAAACCGATGTCGCCGGCTCGCCCCCACTACACTTCCAGCTAACAGATAATAAGCCAATCAAACGACGCGACATCAAGCAACCGAACGAATCAGCGCTCACAACACACAACAGCCGTGTCTGGGAGCGTTCATTCGTTCACACCGATTTTTCGCTAGAGGTGAGCACTGAGTCGATGAAATATTATCGATATTAAATATGCCAAGTGTGAGTTGGACTTGACTTGATAGTATGGTAATTTTTGTATCCTGTCAAAGTCAGTAAAAATACAGAAAAAACAGATAGTTATTTATTGACCTTGAAACAATATATATTTATTTAAAAGGTGACGCTTTGTTTCTTTTTGAAAGTTATTTTTCAATAAGAAATGTAGACGGATATCTATGTATTTTTCAATTACCACTTTCATTAAATCTGTTACGTGGTTAGAATATGGGAATTCACCGACTTGATGAAATGATATGTCATCAAATAATGAAGTGCCAATAAACTTTTTTAATATTTTTGGGACAAAAATTTGTTTTTGGACATTTTTCAAATTATCTGTATGTTGTCGTATTACAGTTTCTGCACTTTCGCATATTTTTATCACATCACCAGACGGATATATCAGGCCACCTTTATCTTTTACGAAAATAAATTTATGTAAATTATTACTTGTATGTGATATTAGGGCTCCAGTGCAAATATCACATTTGATTTTTTTTATTAGGACATGAACAACATTGCCTGCTATGTATCCAATGACTTGTTTACTGAAATCAGTAAAATTTAGTTCGGTAATAGAGGGTCACCCTTAAAAGATAAACATTAGCTGTAGCGGGCTTTTTTATAAAACTTTTAAAGAAGAACAATTCCGGTATATATGATTTTTGTGTAACTTTTACTGTTTACGCAGCGTACACAACGGATTCTCTCAAATGGGTCTTTTCCATATTTTTTTATTGGTGCTCCGCTCCTCTTAGTCGTATTATTATGTTTTATTAATCTATAGCCTTCCTCAATAAATGCACTACCCAACACAAAAAGATTTTTTAAATCGCATCAGTAGTTCCTGATAAAAGCGCTTTCAACCAATTAAACAAACAAACTATTTAGCTTTATATTTATATTGTATATACATTTACAATCAGCTTTTATTTATTTATAAAAGTTACTTTAATTCCATTATTAGATGCTAAAATTCCATCGATAAAATCTATCGACAATGTAAAGTGTACGACGCAAGACACCACTAAAGTTGTGGTAGTTTGTACCTACTGTGTGCAATGACCTTGTACTGCATGCGGCCACGTGCAGCGCTTTGTAGTCCATGCGTCATTCTTGCTCGAACCTTACTACATTACGTGTTTTGAACGTCGTCGAAAGAATGACGAGCGTACTTTGTCAGCAATGAATATTTTTATGAAAATAAATATGTGATTTATCGTATAATTAGTATTTCACGAATTTTTACTAAAATATCAGTCTAACTTAGAAGTTTTATATCTACCGATGAAAAGAAATTCCTGCTTTAGGTAGATTTGTTGTTTGACTCCTTGCTTTGCAAATAATTACAGCACACGAAGGCATATTTTAAGGGCCCCTTTACCCGAAAGTTTAGGCATTTTACGCACAAAGACGGCTTGCGCCCGCGTTGCGCGGGAGCCGTCGCGATTTGAACTCCGGTGACCTTTGGAGGCGGGCGAGCACACCACAGTATAAATAAATCAGTAGATCAACTTTATTGGCTATCCTAGGAATGTTGTTAGATATGATTTGATGAGTATTATAATGAAAGACAAGCATGATAAATAGCCTCTTATAATTACAATACAAATTTGGACTACATTACATTTGTAAATTATATACATCTCAACATAGTTAAAATAATATTTAATTCAGAAAATATGGAAGTTGGGATTTTTGGATGGATATTTGTTACACTTACACTCCTAAGCAACTGAACGGATTTGGGTTATGGCTAGGATTGCAACGATATATCGTAATATCGAGACCAAAATATCGATATTTAAAATTCACTGATATCGATAATATCGATATCAGTGAATTTTAAATATATATATTTAAGTAATGAAATTTTCGATAATATCGATATCGGAAATTCCAAAATATCGATATTTCGTAGACTAAATTTGAACACAATAATATCAATTAATTTACCTGCTATGACTATCTAAATTAAAATAATATCGAAATAACTATTGCTTTGAAATCGCAAGAGCTTATAGATGTATTAAAATAATCTTGAACCCCAAGAAATATACTAAACTGGTGTGGATTCTGGCATGATTCTCTAAATCTAAAATTAAATTTGACAACAGTGTATCCTTGTCATTCTCTATACAGAATGAAAAGGAGAGACTGATGTTTAGTTTTAAGTTTAGATAATCATGCCAGAATCGACACCAACGTATATAGGTATAATCGTATACCTAATGGTAACTCATGCACTTAAATAAAATCCTTGCCTCTCTTTCTAGATAATTGTCAACTACTGATTAATTGAAATTTAATATCATTGTAATATAACACAAAATAAAATTAAGAATCTTATACAAATCGTACTTTTTTTTAAGCTCGCCAAGTCAAGAAAGTAAGATAGGTATAGTAATTTTGGAAGCTTTGGGCTTACCCTATTCTGAAGCCATGGGCACACCCCTGATGTTTTAACATTTTAAACAAAATAAATATCTTTGATTAGAAATTGCTTTTGATTTGATACTTCTTACAGCGCTATAAAAATATAGAAAATATCTATAAACATCGTGTTGAAAATGTTGGAATGGCTGATATATCGGATCGGATATCGATATTTAGCCGCCCACATTATAAATATCGATATTTTGGAAACCTTTACTTCCTTAATTTTAGGTTTTTGCTTTACAAACTTAATTCAAAGCAAAAAAGAAAAAAATATAAAAGAGATAATATCGAGTTAAAATCGTCGATATATCGGATATCGATATTTTCCTGACTTCGATATAAATATCGATATTTCAAAAGACTTTTCATCCCTAGTTATGGCACATAGATGAGGCACTGCTTCATTTCACTGCTGGGGACGGATCACCATTTGAGATATGTAGTAACAAAAAATTAAAATTCTTTAAAATTTAGTTCTCGTGTGCTAGGTCCAGGTTCATTTTCATTGTCACATATATTCCTCAATGCTGGGCGTGAATCTCCTGTAAGAGGGTGGCGCTCCTCTTCGTGTTGGGGACTAGGATCTGTAAGCAAATCAGGATTTTTTTGTGTTAGAGGCTCCTCATTTTCCTTATTTTCAGATGGTATGTTTTCTTCAAGTGTCAGATTTCTTATGCCCATACCACGCGTATGTCTGGGATTTACAATTTCAGGAAGTAGACATTTATGGTAAAACTGTATTAATTTGGATTCCATCTTTGATTTCCAAAATACGTCATCTTTTTTAATTATTTCGATGTGCACTGGCTCTTTTTCTCCGGCCCAAATACCAAGTAGACATTTCCTTCGTCTTGCTACATGCAATTGTCCCTGTATTTGGTAAAACCAATTACTATTTTGATTAATTGTTGCAGTGCGTGTTTTTTTATTAAATTTTAATATTTGTATTTTATTTTCTTCAATAGCTCTTTTCATGCCAAGTTTTGATGCTGAAAAAGGACATTTGACTTCGACCAGAATGTCATTTCCGATGAGCCCATCTGGCGTGGCACCAATGAA